GAATTCTCCAGCCAGCCAGGCTGTCCGGGGAATTCTGGGAGTTGAAGTCCACACTTCTTAAAGTTCCCAAGGTTGACAAACACTGCCTTAGACAGAGTCAGCAATGTGGCATTTGTAGGCAACATGAGATGTTTCCCCCTCTCTGCCCTGCAGCGTGTGCAAGCAACCACCATTAAATTTTTAAAATCTTGAAACATCATGCACGTCATAAGATTTCAGGTAAAAAACACGAGATGGTCAGGTTAAGAGAGCCAGTATCTTGCAAGATGTAATGATCTGGCGAGATTGCAGGCAATTTGAATAAGGAATTTTAGGAATGCCTGCCCTGTGACATCCAGAGCCAGGGACCCCTGGCATAAGAGAATTTGACATGGAGATAAAGCTGCTCAATTGGCTTAACTGTCCCAATTAAAAGGCGCAAAAGAAAAAGCCATAAGAAATGCAGTGCATATCCCAAGTAACATGAATCAAAATTCAAATTTACCTGTTCCACCTGATTGCATCCTAAAAAAATAAAGGGCAGAGAATGTGGGTGGAAATCAGGAGCTGCATAGTTGGAAAACACCAGCGAGCATAGCATGGTGTTCAGGAACCATTGCAAAGAGACGTTTTGGGAAGAAAATGAGGTTTCTTGCAAAGAGCTTCCGTCGCAAAGCTGTCTCCGTGTTCACCACAGTTCAAAAGTTCCTGGTCTTGCCTCTTGCGTTTGTTAAGCAAGGTGTGATTTGTATTTTCATTCCGTTTTCCTTCTGGGAGGCCAAGAGTTCTTAAACAGGCAATAGCCGCAGCTTGTTCTGCTAGCTTCTTGGATTTTTCCCTGGAAAGAAAGAGAACAGCCAAAAACTTTTCTTTCCTTCAACCCAAAAAAGAGCTTTATACCCCTAAAAGTTGCTTCACCTATGAGAAAATGTGGCAAAGGGAATCAGAAAGGCCTCAGTCAAATCTGTACCTTACCAAGCTGGATATTTACTGCGTCCCTTCCTATCTTCTCCCACAACAACAATCCTGCCAGGTAGGTTGGGCTGAGAGACAGGGTCTGGCCCAAGTCACCCAGGGAGCTTCTGTGGTTATCTGAGCAGCTGTTCTGGCTTCTTGATGCACGCCCTTGTCCTCCACCCAGCGTGCTTCAAGTGAGATGGCTCTAAAGTGGGCATGGGCTGGCCCCAAATCTGAAAGGACTGAAGGTTGCAAGTAAGGAACCAGCAGTTCTTAGGATAGACAGAAATGTCATGCCAACACTGAGGAAATGTCTCCCAGTCTCAAGGCTGGGAAGAGAACAGTCAAATTTCCACTGATTTGAAAAAGTGGGTCAGAATGTAATCCCCGGAGCAGACGTATATACATAAAGCTCAAACTCTACATTCTGCAGAATATATACTGCATATCTATCACTGCTGTAAAGCAGCTGAGCTAGCCATGCAGTGACTATGAGCTTCTGCCTTAAGCAAGTTCCTGAATATGGGGTTGAACGTTTGGGGTTTCAAGATGTACTGCCATGTGTGAAATTTGACACTGAAAAACACTTCAGCATAACTTAAGTCAGAACTACCCCAAATGGGGTACTGGCTTCACCACCCCAAGGCCGTAAGAAATGTCAGCACAGCAGATGCTTCCCAGGGTTTATAGCAGACATCCATGGGAAGTGGTAACTGAGCAACTCCACTGGACATGCCTGTGGCACTCACAGTCTGACGCGTTTTGAAATGGATAGGCAGATGCTGATTTACTTCAACATTTTTTTCCTCTCAAAGTACACAAAAGTATCAGGAAACCAACCTCTCTACTAAGTGTCACATCTATTTTAACACAGTGGAAAACCATAAAGTTCCATCCTGAATCTAACTTCTGCCATGAATTTTCTACGTGATAAGAGACTTCACTTATCAGCCAGTCCCCCTGTGTGCAATCAAGAATAACGTGATTTACCTTATTGGATTAATGTAAGAATTATTAGTATGTTAGGATTACATTTAAATGCAATTCTCAATCATAGTTTAGCATTATGTGAAGGAGCTGTGTACGCCATTCCCTCCTCTTCTCTTCTGGCACAGCTGCATAGATGTTAGAAGCATCTGCTGGTTTTAGAAAAAGCAGTTGGACTAGTCGCTTGAACCATAAATTATATTTAAGCTTATCTGTGGTGACTTAAAGTATATGCCTTCCTAAACTAGGGTTTGGTTGGAGAATTTGATTGGAGAATTTGAACTAACTATAGTTAAGATTAACCATGCTTTGGATTACCTAAAAATGGAACCAAAAACTTCCAGACTCCTTCCCAGATGTTACCGAGGGCAACAGCCTGACATTTTCTATGGTATGTCCTGCTCTTTAGCCATTCATCTGAATCAGCTTCGCATACAAGAACATCTAAAGGTATTATACAAAAGTTCAGTAGCATTATTATTACCTCTAAGTTGTCCTGTTGAATAACTTCACTCTTTCTAGCAAATGATCCCCTTGCAAAAACAGCTCCCCAAAGACTTACCATAAGGTTGAGCTGTACTTTTGATCTGCAACTGTCACAACAGAACAGAAAAGTCTATCCCGTGGTCTTTCAATCTAAAGCAAGGTGAGAAATGAAGGGTAGTTTGATTTGAAGTAAACACAAGTGATCCATTCAATATGCATTTGAATGAATTTTGGTGAAACTATCAAATCCCCAACAGGTGGGGCATTTCAGTTCAACGCTGGGAACAACCAGCAGCAATTTAAGCTAGGATCCAGAAGCTTAAGGCAGCTGGTCCAACCCATTCAAAGGGGCTTTCAATTCTTTGGTTTTCTTGAACAGCTGCTCCTCCAGAACACAGAGCAAACTGCTTGTTGAAAAGCTGGAGAATTTCAAAAGCAGCTTGTCATGCAACATGCTTGGGCCTAGTGTACAAGCAGAATGTGTCAAAATTCCCACAGGACACATACAAATATTTGCACAGGCCTCAAGTATCTCTTGCTATCGGAGCCAAAGTTTCAGGAGTGCAAGATTCCCTTTTCAAATCAAATATTTATTATGCTCATAGACCAGCATAACAAGATTTCCTTTTAGGGGATGTTTAACAAACAAATTTGCCATATAGATCAGAGGCGGGGAAGATCCCGTCCGCCAAGGGCTGTGTTCCTGAAGGGGATGGCCTGTTAAGCAACGGGCAGGACCAGAGTTCTCTTCTCTTAATACCATTCTTGCTCCACGCTTGCTCAGGAAGCAGAGAACATGGCCACTTGCTGGGTGCATAAACTGCATTCACGCTGCATGTTCCTGTGACTTCCCTGTTTCCTTTGCCTTCAAGGATCCCAACCCACCCACCTAATTCCACTGAGTTTCACAAGCATTTTCATTCTTCAGCAGAAGGAACAGCTGCAGAAGCCATAAAAAGCAGCCCCTGCATTACCTGACTGCAGACAAAATCATCTTGCATCTGATCCTCCTCTCCCCAATCTCCACAACAAAGCAGCAGGAGGACAGAGGGGGGACCAGGCAGCCTGTGCTGCTTCCAGTCCGCAGTCTGTCTGTGCCAGATGTGCAGAAATCAAGACATCTTCCTCTGCAATCCAGCACAAAAACAGCGGGCAGGTTTTGACAGATAAAGGGTAGGTGGCTATGAGTCCCCCTTCCCAGTGATAAATGCTACAAGAAGCATTTCTACAGCAAAGGGTGGGCCATTTTTCTACCTGACTGGCATAAGGGCTGGCATAATTTGCTTCACCTCTGCCCCTTTCCAGCTTCAGTGATTAACAAGCTCTTCAGCCTCATCTGATGGAGGCTGGAGAATTCACCTAACCTCAGCAAAATTCTGCTATTCTTACATGAGATGTTGCAAGAATTCAACATCCATAACTTTCTGCACTGATTTCATGGCTCCTGGCAAGACTGTGTGACTTTAGAGACTTTTAGGTTTTCTAAAACATGTTTATAAAATATGGGATGAGGCTGGAGAACACCAGTGAGCGGTGTGATACCCATCCCTCTCCTACCTGGAAGGAACTTCCAGGTGAGAAGAAACACAGTACATAAGTGTGACACACTACTTGGGAAGTTAATTTGTACACAATAATTAAACCATCCTGAAGTAGCAATCCTCTACTAAGAAGGTGGTCCCACCGAACTTAATACGGGTTCCTTCTGAGTTGAAGGATTGCTTTTCTTTCAAGTGTCGTTCTTGTGAATGTTTTGCAGGAGACAGCATCTTACTGTTTCATAGGCAGGTTGAAGAAGCTTTTCTTTCCTGCACCATTCCAGAAGATACATTTTAGGTGTAATTTGTGGGGGATACTCTCGTCTGAAGAGTAAAAAAAACAGAAAGAAAGAATAAATGAATACACATTGTAGGCCAGAGGCTGCATTAATCTTCAATAGCTTGCTCCAACCTGAATCAGTCCAACTTACTAGATCAGGAGGTAAAGCCCAATCAGTCCAACTTACTAGATAGAATTCTGGGAACTGAAGTCCACACATCTTAAAAGTTGCCAAGTTTGGAAAACACTGTACTAGATGATATAAGGAGAAACTCCTGGAGGTCCCACTCTTCTGGGAGGTGAAGGGAGTTGAAGCCCGGAGGTGCTGCTTTTCAGTGATAACTCCAGTGCTTTGGAATACTTCCCCGAGAGAGATCAGACTAGCTCACTCCCAACTGGGTTTTAGATAGATCTTAAAGACTGAGCTCTTTTCAAGAGTGTTCTAGCTGAGTTCATTATTGAGCTATTCTTTCTCTTTGTTTTCTGACTTTCTATCCTGGTAATGCTTGTGGATAACGGGGCTATGATTTTATGAGGCAGATTTAAATATGTTTAAGCTGTATAGTACTATGAATATGTAATTAACTTTTCATGTCTGGGAAGCTGCGGAGAATCTTTGGATTGCAGTAGGATACAAACATGATAAAGACAAAGTGAATAGTCAAGGAACATACGTGAACCAGTTTTATGAGCTCCTGAAAAACTGTAGAGAATCAGGGAGATGACCTTGATGGAAACAGGCAAGAACTGTTTCCTAAGAAGAGGGGCTGAAATATTCCTTAAGTCTTGAGAAGGAAGATAGTATTTGGAAGTGACGCAGGCAAACTCCTCCCTAGTTCACTGGGGCATAAGAGGGAGGGGAGGTAAAGCCCAATCAAGCTTGCAAGACTCTGTTATTATGGCCTACCAAGAAAATGTAGTTCTAATCTTGCTGTGAAGTCTGTTTCCTGATCTGGTCTACTCCAAAGAGCTGACAGGAATAAATAACTAATTCTAATAACAACTAATTAGAAGAATTATTGTCCTAATCACGCAGAGGGCAGTGGAGCTATGGAGGGCAACGAAGCCTCACTGGCAAATACTGTGGAACTCATGCCCTATCTTCTGAGAATTCAGCGAACATTTCAGCTAATGTATCTTTATCACTGTAAGGGCTAGAAACAAGTCGGCAGATTAGCAGAAATCTGGTTCATTTTAGCATCCATGTTCAGCACAGTATATTCCAGTTCATCACTTTTGTAATAGATGTTTATTATCATCATTTTACAAAGGCTGACTTTAAAATATCTGCATAGTTTTCATTAACAGTTTCCCCTAATATAGGCAACTTTGGGGAGCTAAGGTGGGAGGTGGGCAGGAAGGCATGTCTGATTATAGAGGAAGTGACAAAGCAGAACGAAAACTTTTTAAAAAAAATTCCTTTCAAAAATAAAGGGGCTTTTTTGTGGATTTTTTGTCAGAGGAAACTATTATACTAGCAGACTCTGTCCAAAACTGCCTTCCAGATGCAACTGGAGATCACTGATAGATCTCTGTATCTCTCTCCATAACACCCTTGGTGTAATTATTTATATCTCCAAAGCCTGTAGGATGAGTCCAGCTTTGGCCAACACCATCTGATGGAGAAAAGAGCTGGCTGTCCCTGTGAAACCCAACAAACATTGAGAGAGAAAATGCAGGAGCAACTAACTTTGAAGCAAATTGTGCTGGCTTGAGACTAATTTGACACAGCAAGCCAGCACCTGTGGTATTGTGTGAACCCAACTCATTAATGATATATTCATCAACAAAACATGATTAAAATCATGGATTAATGTGATGCTTGGACACAGCCAACTTATTCAAACCAAGATTAGAACAGCCTATGGCTTAGTGTAACATAGAAGCTCTCTATGTTTAGTCTTGAAAAGAAACAGAGGATGCTAATTATCTTACTTACTTATCAAACCTAACTGCCATTTTGATGACATCTGTGTCTTCAGTGTAATCATCATTATTCTGGTTCTTGACTTGTAGTGAAACTTTTTTCTTCTCCAGAAAATCGGATGCTTCTTGGAAGAAACTACTCATCTCAAAAGCTTCGCTAATTTAAAAAAAAAAAATCAAATTAATTCTAGAAAAATATTCTCGGATTCTGAAAATGAAATATATGTATATGTATGCTTATCAACATACACATTCATACATATATTATGAAAAGCACTGATTATACAGTAAGAGGTAAAGACTCCTCTTTAAAAAAATAAGCTAAAAACTCCTTTGAAACAAACTTAACTCCTGGGGACTACATAGACACACTCCTGTTATTTTCTTGGCAAAAATATGGAATCCACCTGCCACTGTCTTCTTCTGAGAAGTTTAGCCTACTCATTCAGTAACAAGCAGGCCTAACTGTGCTTAACTTTTTGAGATCTATCCCAGCCAGGTAACTGCTGCCCCACAAAACATATGCACTGGAAACCCAACCTTAGTAGTGATTAGGGATAAGAAAGCTGAGAGAGAAAACAGAAGACAATGTTCAGCCTTTCTGCTCCCCTCTTCTGCCTCCTCCTTTTGCCATAATATATTTGTAACCTCAAAGACCTTCCTGTCTTGGGGATTCCCAAGTGGAATGCAGTACACCGACTGGCCACTAGAAAGCAGTCCCAAACTTCGCATCCAAAGAATCAGAAGCAATTATTTGAAGCAACAAGGGAGGTTGCACCAAGATCCTAACTTCATAAGCATATTCAGTGGTCCTCAAAAAAGCCCCAAATGTATCATTCATATTACTTATCTATTATAAGTGCTTTTGTGTTCTTGCACAATGAGTCTAATATGACATTATGGAGAGGACAGAAAATCAGATGCTTCAACTCAAAACATTAATCTTTAAAAATATATGCTGCACGTCTACAAGTTGGATAAATGATTGTTGTGACATCTTACAGACTGACCAATCTACTATTGCATAAACAGTCTACTTTATCTGATGTATTGAAGAGAGGCCTGGGAAAGCTGGATATTACATATACGCTTAGCTACTGGGGGATCAGTGACAGACAGTGACTGCTAACAAAGCAATTGTTACAGTCTGACACATATATTATTACACTGATAGCTGATTAACAAATGTAATGGGGTCTGTGAAAAATGGGGTTATGATGAATTCTAGATACATATAAACTGGGTGGCTTCTAATTATAAACTGACAAGCTGCATTGATAGGGCAACCTGGGAAGCTGTAGAGTAGTAAAGAGATAGCCTTGAAGAAGATATGCCAAGATCATTAGTTAAACATGAGCTTAGCCTGGGAAAACAGGAAAGTATGAGAAAGAAACTAAAGATTGCTCACCTTGATTTCCTTCGATTTAAGAGGAAGTGAAGGGGAAGCAGGCTTTCAAGATTCTGATATTATAATCTATATCAATAGAGTTCTAGTGTTTTCTGTGGTGTGTGTTTCCTAACCTGGCCTCCCTTTAAAGGCTGACAGAAACTCCAGCACAGAGGTGTGCATGTCAAAACACTAGCATGCAGCTAATAATGCTCTGAAACCTAGCCAAAGTTGTCAACTTTTAATATTTAATTAAATATTTGTTCTCCAAAAATTTAACCAACAGAAAATGCTTTAGAAATGTGTCATTCTACAGGCCAGATACATCACATGCTTCCTTAAGCCAGCCCTTAAAATAAAAAATGTTACTTCTGAACATTTTTTTCCCCAAAGCTTGCAAATATTTTGAGTTGGATCAAGTTAGCTAAATTTAAATCATAAAGAACTTAGTGCAACAAGAGTGGCCCACCAAGATGCCAATCCTATCCCCATTTACCTGGGAAGAGGCTTCATTAAAGACTTACTGCTGAGTAGACATGCATAAGAATGTTATTTTAGCCTGGATTCAACCCCTTACATTTAAGCTTTTGAGGTCTATGGGGGTTTTCTGATAATAAAAATAAACCAACCAAATGGTGCTCAGCAGAAACTCATCTTGACAATTTCATGTTTAGATTTTCATATTGCTTTGAATAATATGAAATAAGATGAATAATATGAGTAAGATAAAAATCATATCAGCAATATGAAGATTAGAATATTCCAAATTCCCAAACAGAAGCTTTCCTTCCCGCAATGAGAGTGAACTTACATTAAAAAAAAAAAACAGGAATAAACAGAAGTATTAAGTTTTTGCATTAAAAACTTTAACGAATGTTTTAACACATTTGCATTTTAGTAGTTTACACTATTGGCTTTATCCAGGGACACATAAATTAAAATAAAAACATGAAAATGCTCCTACCAGATTTCCTGCAAGGATTGTGCTGCATGTAACTTCTTTCCTTGTGCATTTTCTAATTGCTCCCTTAACATCTGGCACAAACAATACTTTGTATTGGTGTAATGGTTATCATATCTCACTGCCTAAGGAAAACAAGATGAGTAACAACACTTTAATGAAGGAGGAAAAAACAAAACAGCTTTATAATCAGGGATGCAAATATTTCAAATTTTGTCTCTAGCAGGTTATTCTGTCAAAAGGATTCTTCATATTCTGAGGCTGAAATACTCAGTCTGTCTAAAACTCTTTGTACCTACAAGGTTCCTTGTCACAAAGAACACAATTGTATTCATTTCAGATCTCATTAGGGGAGACTGCCCAAGCCTTCAAATCCAATTCTCAAGTTCATTTCAAGAAAGGTAAATTTCCAACTCTCTTGAGTTGCAGGACATTTTAAAATATGTTAGAAAATTGGTACTAAAAAGTCATATATCAGAGATGTAACTGGACAAACTGTGTAGCTTACAGAGGGGGAACAATTACTGTATTAAGGGCAACATTCCCATTAGTACAATATCTATTTATTTATTAGATTTATATCCCACCTTTCCTTCAGGATCTCAAGGATGTTTACATAGTTGTGATGGAATGGACTTATGAAGGCCAGGCTTAGGGAGATAAGCGTGTTCCTAGCCCCCAACAGGAGCGTGGGAAGTTCAAGAAGATGAGGCTGGCACCTCCCTAAGGAATTCACGGTACTGTGGCTGGCTGGCTGGCTTGGGAACTTGGGTTCAGTCTGGTGAGATTCTGTCTTGAGGTGGAAGCTAATAAATGCAACGGAACTAT